ATCCCCACATCCTCTCCTCTTCCTTCCCTTCACTTCCCTCTACCTAATCTAATGTAACTCTATTCATCTCTGATGCCCCCCTACACTTAGTGTGAATTAGCATCTGCATATTTTAGAACACATTCAGCCTTTAGTTTTTTGGGATTGGCTTACTTCACTTAGCATGATAGTCTCCAACTCCATCCATTTACCTGCAAATGCCATAATTTTATTCTTCTTTAATGCTGAGTAATATTCCATTGAATATATATACCACATTTTCCTTATCCAGTTATCTACTGAAGGACACTTAGGTTGGTTTCATGTTTAGCTATTGTGACTTGAACTGCTATAAACAATGATGTGGCTGCATCCCTGTAGTATGCTTATTTTAAGTCCTTTGGGTATAAACTGAGAAGTAGGATAGCTGGGTCAAATGGTGGATTCATTCCAAGTTTTCTAAGAAATCTTCATATCACTTTTCGTAGATGTTGCACCAATTTGCAGTCCCACCAGAAATGTGTGAGTGTACCTTTTTCCCCACATCCTCACCAACATTTATTATTGCCTGTATTCTTGATGATTGCCATTCTGACTGGAGTGATTTTCCTTTCTTAAGGAGAAAATAACTTTCCAACAGAAGTCTTCTAACTCCAGAGGCCTGTGTGTTTCTGAAACCAGAGTCAGCCTCCATCTCATGTTTCAGTGCCAAGAAATGGCAGCTCCATGGCGAGAACTCTTGTGGCCTGGAGAGCCATGCATGGAATTCCCCTCTCACATTCAGACTATTCCAAGAGATATTAATCTGTTTAGCTGGTAAATCTAGAAACTATGGCTCTCTTTCTGACAGGGGAATGAGTTTACTTGAGAAGGAATCTCAGTCACCTCAGCCATCCTGATGGTGGCCTCCCCACCAATGGAGGCTATTGACAAAAACTTTTAATTTTTATATTTTTTTAAGAAATAAGAATAATACACTTTATTTTAACAGAAACTATTTTAATATGTATTTTCAAAACATGTGTTACAAAGCTGAACCTCAGAAGATCAGAAGTCTTCACAAAAAATGCCATTTCAGACAGGGATAACTTTAATCAACCTCAGCTTATGGACAAATACTCTTAAATGTACTTTTTCCCCCTTCATCTGCCACCTCAGAGCACCATTTTAGGATTTACTTGTTTTTGTTGAGGCAGTTGTTGCTGCTCAGGGGGCCAGCCTTTGCTTTGGTTGATTTCTCTCTTTCCACCTGTTCCACTGGATTGTTCCTCTGTTGTAGGGGACAGATGAGGCAAGGCACTGAAGATAGCAGGAAACAAATGGTTTGATTTGGCTGCAGCCAGGTTCAGAGGGCACAGCTTCTGCTGTAATCAATCAATCCCCTGAACCCCAACTTCAGGGAGTTTAAGAACTTTATACCCAGCATGTAAGCAGAGGGGCTCACAAGTTCACAGTCTGCACAAGTTCACATAAAAGCAGCTTTTTCTTTCACTGTTCTGGGCAAGTTAACCCTTCAAGGACAACACCTGAGGAAGAGAGAGCTTCTCCTCCCCTTTTTTTCCTCCCCTGCCAGCTGTTACTGATACTACCAGTTATCTGTGAGTCCCGCTTCATTACATGTTGAAGTTTGAACATTAGAGAAGCACACTGAGGCAAGCGCATAAAGCAGGGTTTATTTAAAGAGGGGTAACGTAGACTTCTCCTGGGAAGGAGAAAGGGGGGCGTTGTTGGGTGTGTGGAAGACCTGGCCTTTTGGTTTTATTTCCCCCATCGGGTTTCTCCCCGCTGAAGTTAAGTTTCTCAAGTTAAGTCTCCCAAGAAGAACATCACGTAATCCCTTACCCCTCCCACTCCTCTCCAAAGGGCGCCAAAGTCAAAAGTTTTCTCCACCAATCCCCATGGGACACAGTGTCTGCTCGCCCATTCCTGAGTCACCCTGCCAATCAGCGCCCACCAAGTCTCCAAGCAACCCTTCTTAAACTTAAGCTTGCAAGCTCACGCTCTCTGCCCTCTTCCTCTGCCCTCTTCCTCTGCTCTCTTCCTCTCCTTTCTTCCCCTTTGGATAGCGCCCCCCCCGCCCCCCATTACAATCTCTTGGGTGAGTCACTCGCCTTTCAGCCATAGCTGGTATCCTGGTATATCAAGAAGTGAGGTGTTCTGCCCTGTTTATATCTCCTAGGCTTTCTTTGTTCTCCTGTCTCTTCCCCCTGATCTTTCTCCTTCTTGCATATGGGACTAGGCCTAGGAATGCTTGGTGGGATGGCCTAAAGGTGGGAAACAGGTGGGCTGAAGGGGGAAGGGCAGGGTGGAGAAGCCAAGGACACATTAACAAGTTTATAGCTCTCTGTAGGGAGGGGCAATCCTGGGACAGGTTATCTTGGCTACAGGCTGAAGCAGGGGCAGGTTCTTGATAAGGGTGGAGGAAGGGCTCTGAAGGAATTAACATTTCAA